GCTGAGGCATGAAGAACAGGAAGAAGCCAGCTGTTTAAATGTAAGGCCATGAAGCCTTTGAAGCTGGTTTTGGAACCAGACAGAAGCCAATAGTTATAGCCAATAGAAATCAACTGTACAGGCAGCTCCCTGACTAGGAAGGGCTTCTGTCTGCTGCTGCTGCTGCCCAGACGCAAAAAGCAAGGGCTTAGGTGCTCTGGGAGCTATGCAAAGGCCATGGGGCTGAGGAGGGGTGTGAGGGACGTGAGGCTGAGATGGGCCCTCGAGGGGTGAACACAGAGGTCAGGGCAGCCTCTGCTTTCAGAAAGCCATGAGAGAGGGAACACCGCTTCATGTACAGAAATCACAGCTGGGCTCCAGAGGCTGGTGGCTTCCAGCCATTTGTATTCTAACGTGGGGGAAGGGGGCAGGGACAGGGCAGCCTTACAAGCGCCAGCTATGATCTCTCAAACAGATGAAGAGCTGTTTGTTATCAGGAAAGCCATCTGTTAATCTGGCTCTGGAGATGAGGCAAAGCTGGACTGTCACACAGGCCATAATGAATGACTTCCTGCTGGTAATGGATTGTACGATTGTGTGGGTATGTGTCATCATGCCTAGAACCCAGGGTCAGAGGTTTCTGCTCTCTCTCTCTCTCTCTCTCTCTCTCTCTCTCTCTCTCTCTCTCTCTTCCCCCCCACCCCCCACAGGAAACCTCTCTCTGAAGATCAGCTTGTTTCCTTTCTCGTTTTGAAGGCAGGGTTTCTCTGAGTAGCTTTGGCTGTCTTGGAACTCACTCCGTAGACCAGGCTGGCCTCGATTCACAGATCCAAGTGCTGGAATCAAAGACATGTGCCACCCCTGGCCACCTTAGCCTCATTTTCTTAATTCTTAATTTTTTTTGAAGTATAATCCAACATGTAAGTCCTAAAGTTTCATTGACTCTTACATAAATACTTGTGTCTCCCGGCAACACGAAGTCCTCCTTTGGGCTAAAAACAAGAACCACAGAAGCCACCACAATTTGATTTTTTTTTCTTTTGGTTGCCAAGAAACCCAGGGTCAAGTTGAGGTGCAATAATTATATCTCTCTAGATTCCTGGTATAATTGTTAGTTCAATTCAATTGTGCATACCACAAGTAGGCTATTGATGGCCACTGCATTTTTCTTCTAGATTTTTGCTGTTATAAATAATTCTTCCATTGCAATAACCCAGTAAAAGGAAGAAAGAGATACAAACGACACAGGGAAAACCAAACGGCTCATAACACAGGAGAGATGTTTGGTGCTTTGTGGGAATGGAAATCAGACTGGTTTTTGTTGTTGTTTTGTTTTTGCTGGTGAGAACAGCCTTCGTGAAGAAACGTTAGCCTATGCTGGCTGGGAGGTGGAGAGACTCCACGTTTGGGTCCTGTTCCTTGAATGTGGATTCAGTTTCCCCGGCACCCATGCCAGGACCTGCAGAGACAGCCCAGCCTGGAGCACAGAAGTCACACTGCTACAGTTTCTAATCCTACAGAATCTGAATACCACACAACAGGAGACTGACCACTAGTTATACCCATAACATTCACACAGTGGGCTCTCTATGTCTTACCAAGACACGGACACGTTTCTGCCCTGGTGTTTGGTAGGGAATGGATGCCAAGATATGGAATGGAACTGGGGCTAGGTGTCAGAGGACATGGAGTCCAGTCCCAGTGGTGCCATTATCCAGGCCAGAGACACCCAGTCAGAGACTCACTTAAGAGTCTCCAGCTGTAACACAAAGCTGCTCCCTGACTCTCCCACGCTCCAGGGGGCTGAGGTCAAGGGCCAGCACTTTCTCTTCATACACTCAGAGAACATGGAGCTTGGCATGCTGGTCTAAATGGCAGGAGTCACTCTCCAGTGACAGCGGGTGCTGGGGGGGGGGGCAGTACGATGGATGAGGGCGTGACCGCCATGGTAAACCATCATCCTGTTCAAGGAGACATAGGCGAGAAGATGGTTTAAGGGAAAGGAGACTGCACAGAGCACTCTGCAATGGCAACCTTTGGCCACAGAGATCAGTCTCAAGGGTGGTGTTGGTCCAGGGCTGCACAGGCTATTGTTGAAGGCATCCTCACCAATGTATTTTCTGGGTGAGGCTGGGATGGCTTCTGTGCTGGATTGAGGTTTTGGCAGGGTGTCCTGGGGTAGATAGTTCATGTTACTGGGCAATCATGTGTGAGAGCCCCTCCCTCATTCACACCCTCCTGCTGAAGGACAGTGTTTATTAGGGTCTGACATCAGTGACTCCATGTGGATACATAGCTTCTCTTTCTTCTTTCTCTTCTTCCTCTCCTTTCGTTTCCTCCTCTTTCTTCTTTTTCTTCTTTTCTTCTCTTATCTTCATATTTCACTTGCTCCTTGTTCTCCTCCTGCCCACCCCCCAGTTGTTTTTTTTTTTGTTTTTTTTTTTTTTTTTTTAGTTAGGGCCTCACTATGTCACCCAAACTAGGCTCACACTCACCGTCCTCTGCCTCCCAAATGCTGTGGTCACATGTGTGCACCATCTTTCAGGCTGCTTGCTGTGGACCAACCCTGAGGTATGGATGGATAACAGGGTAACTTAGGCTTTGCATTTTGTGTGGGAACGCCTGGGGCTTCGGGTAGGTAGCCCCCTCTCAGCATCTGCCATAAGCTCCAGCCTTCAGTCTCTCCAGCGACATCAGAGAACTGGGGTCTACCTAGAGTGGACTGAGGGACCCAAGGTCACCTAGGATCTGGGATCTGAAGTTCCCCCGCTGATCCAGATCGTTTTGCAAACAGTGACACTGAGTCTGGGGCCAGACTGGAGTGAGACCACGGAGAGGGGGTTGGGACTAACAGGATGCTGCTGTGCTTCGAGGGTCTGCTGCTCACACGCTGTCGCATGGCTGGCAGCAAGTGAGCCACAGTATGCTTGGTAACCACAGATTCTTTTGTATCATTTTTGGATCCTTTACTTCTCAACTGATCAAAGTCCTACCACATTTGACAGATGAGGACAGATAGGTGAGTGACTCACAGTGGGTCACAGAGCTGGAAGTGGTCCAGCCCGGATTGGACCTGGGGCCTGTGGTCTCAGAGTTAGCCATTCCCCTCATTCTTGGTCTCCATCTCTAGCCCATCCTGGGGATTTCGAGATGGTTCCTGTTTCCCTGACATCTGATGACTGCTTTCCCAAGCCTCTAGGCGTGTGACAAGAAGATGGGGAAAAGCCGTGGGGGACAGGCTTGGGACAAGTACCTCAAAGATGGGGGAGATGAGGGTGGGATGACTGGCAGAGCCTGGGAAGGGCTGAGCACAGACTTGGGGTTCCTGACTCCCCTCAGCCACCTTCTCTTAGTTCTCCAAACTCTGCATCAATAATCAAATTCAAAAGGAAGTACTAACAAGTCTCCAATCTGCTCACAGCCCAGAGATCCTTCCTCTCAGGCACCTGCACATGCTGGAGTCTCCTGAACCATGTCCAGGCAAAACACCCCACCATCCTCTCTGGTGGCAAAGCTTGTGAGCCTTTGCAGAGGCTGTTTCCTCTGCCCTCCCTCCCTCTCTCCCTCTCTCCCTTCCTCCCTCTCTCCCTTCTTCCCTCCCTCCCTCCCTCCTTCCCTTTCCCTTTTCTTTCTCACACAACCTACTCATTCTTGTACTCACTGTGTAGCTGAGGAGATGGCCATAAACTTCTGATCCTCATGCTCACACCTTCTGACTGCTGGAATTACAGGTTTTGCCCAGATACTTGCTTTACGTACTGTTGGGGATCCAACCCAGGGCTCTGTACAAGCTTGGCAAGCATTCTACAAGCTGGATTGCACTTGAGCCTTGCCTCACTTCTGGGAGGCCTCCTGAACTGAACTCAGGGAACTGCACTCAACCAGCAGGCTCTTCCTCCAGCCTCCCTGGTCTCTCTGCAAACCTCTGGCCATTAGGCATCTTTCGAAATGAGGTTTCATTCAAAGACAGCTGGACGCAGTGGTGCCCCCCTGTAGATGGAACTACTTAGGAGGCTGATCAAGGAGGGTCACCAGAGCCCAGGAGCTCAAGGCTAGCCTGGGCCACAGAGCATGATGCCCCTTTCTCGAAATAAAACAGAAAGGCATATTTCATAAATGAACAGCCTGATAAATTTTCACACACTGACTATATTAAGGGAACCACTCCTCAGCTGCTGCCTCTAGACACGACTCCTTCCGGGAGCACCCGGCTCCTAACTTCTAACCTTTCTCTGTCCTTTCTACAAGGAGACCTACAGTCAAAGTTCGTCTGTGGTAGGTCCCACTCTGCACCCTCAGAGTTTAAGGTCCTAGTGTGTGACTACTCCCCTGAGTATTCATTCACTGTGGATGATGTTGGGTGGCTCCCACTGGACATTATGGACAGTTTATCTAGCCCCAGTCTGTTTGCAGATAGGCACATTTATTCCAGCGAAGCCTAATCCCCGTGATTGGATTGCTGGTCCCACACAATCAGCTAAATGGTGTATTTCGGTCCTCCACATTTACCTGTACTGGGTTTGTTTTTATTTTAATCTTGTCGTTTGTTTTTCCAGACAGCGTTTGTCTGTGTAGCCCCGGCTGTCCTGGAACTTGATCTGTAGAACTGGCTGAGGAGATTTCCCTGCCTCTGCCTTTGGAGTGGTGGGATTAAAGGCACTTGTCATCACATCCGGCTGAAAGTCTAATTATTTTGCATTGATTTTATTTATCTTACATGAGTGCTGGAAATTTGAACACAGGCCCTCGTGTCTTCACAGCAAGCGTCTTATCCACTGAGCCATCTTCCCAGCGTTCCTTTCTTTCTTTCCTTTCTTTCTTCCTAATAAATCGGAGAGTTCTCTAAACTGTTTGGCGGCTGCCATGCATGCTACACAAACAGGCTTCTGCTGGTCTAACCTAGGGCTGCCTGGTATCCTGATTTGTCTGGTCAGACACTTTTCCTGTGACCTTCAGTAGGTGGGTGGCACCTCTGCTTTGCGCTCTGCGTGCATCCCGGCAGGAGAGTCTGGGTGGCGGCGTGCTCCAGCTGCGCAGTGCCGGAGGGAGGGTCCCCGCGGGCCCCGCCCCCGCCGCGCCTCCTCCGGGCGGGATAATTGAACACGGCGCGCAGGAGCCTCGCGTTGGCTGCCCAGGCCCGGCTAGAGCGTGTAGCCGCTGCCCGCCGTGCCTTTGTCCGCCGCCCGAGCCCGCCAGCCCCATGGAGCGCCCCGCGCCGTCGCGCCTCGTCCCGCTGCCGCTGCTGCTGCTCGGTAGCCTTTCGCTGCTGGCGGCCCGAGGTAGGGGCGCCCCGGGCCCACGGCCCCGCACTAGGTCCCCACTCGAGCCCCGCGCTCCCTGGAAGTTTGCAGCCCTCGATGCTCCGGAGCGAGCGCCGCACCCAGGGGGGGTCATCGCATGGTCCCCAGAACTGCGTGGAATCCAGGCCCACGACCTCCCCTCCCCAACCATACTTCCGGCTCGGCCCCAGTCCCCTCCTCGATAGGGAGATTTGCTTTAAATCTTTTACCTTCCAAACGGATCCTCTTGCGGGTTCACGAAGCCACATCCTATGCTGGTGAAGGCAGCTCGAAGACCGCCCGCTGGGCCTTGGGGGTGGGAAGTACTCTGTACTGGAAGAAGTAGCTTTAGTGTTACTTTTAAATCGCCTCCAGCCCCTACCCTCGGGTGCGGGGGTGGGGTGGGGCTGGAGGAACTGCTGCACCCATTTTGCTCCTGAACAAACTGAGATAGGAAGACAAGAGCTGTAAGTTGTTCAGAGGTGGGGGCAGGAAGAAGAGAGAAAATAGAGGAACATCCCAGAGGTTTGGAAGTTAGCCACCTCTTCCCTGCTGGGCCACCAGAGTAGCAGATTGGTGGCCCAGAACCACTTCCCCAGTACAGGAAACTTAGAATGGAATGGTACCCACCTAGACTGTGCTTCTCTCAGTCCAAAAGCTCCAAGGCCTGGCGGCAAGCACTTCACCTGTATATCAGAGAAACTGTGGGGTTGTAAATCTATGACCTTTAACCTCTGAGAGCCAAGCTTGCCCTCCCGGAGTCTTTGTTTCTTCAGGAAGCCTAGATCCACACCACTTTCGTGGTCTCTTATTCTTTATCCCTGGGTTAGCTTAGTTTCTTTTCAATTCTCCGACCCTTCTGGTCAGAAGGCCACAGGTTGTAGATAACTGCTCAGAGGGTGTGGGAGAAGGGGCTGACTGGTCCTGAATCCTGGAGCTCTGGCTGTTCTGGGCACTGGCTGCAGCCTTGGCACATCTTGGATCACATCTCAGTGTAGGAGACAGGGTGGGTAGGCTCATAGGCCTCTGTTCTCGCCAAGAGCTTTGCAGTCCCTCAGAGTTCAGGGAGGCTTCTTGGAGCAGATTGTGCTTGGACCAGAGACGGTGAGGTAGGTCTGTGGGCCAAAGAAGGCATCTGAGTCCCTGCCAGGGAGAGTGAAATCCAGAGAGGACTTTTAACAAGGAAGGAGGCAGACTGTCACAAATGGCAGGGACCTCTGATAGCCCTGTACTGCTGCAGAGAGGAGACAGGTGGAGCAATGTGGTACTCACAGTTGTGTGTGAACACTCACACACTTGCTAACCTGGAGCTGCTCAGGTCTGCAAGCATCATTGGTCATAGAAAAGCTTTTAACCTGAATCCAGCCAGTATAGAACATCCCAGGACCCAGCGTCTTACAGAGGGAGCTGTCTTGGGTTTGGTTAGTTCAGTTTGGTGCGGTCTTAGGAAAGGGTTTGAAGCAGTTTGGCTCCTTCCTGCAGAAGGACTTCCTGCTTGTAGTCCTGTAAGGCCAAGAGACCCTGACCTCAGGCTCCAGAGAGCCATGGGGTGGGCAAGAAAGCTGATGTCTTAAAAGGAAGCCTGTCAGGCAGAGTACCCTGTTGCCAATCAGCTGCCATTCACTTGGTCACCCATGGGCTATGTGGCCACCTATATGCAGAAGAGCCCTGATTTTTCTTGCTAAGGGATAGAGTCAGCCCCTGACAGTGACTGTCCCGTGACTGTCCTGTTGGGATTGGCTGCCCCAGGACCAGCTGAGGGTGTGGGGAGGGGGAGGGGTTGGGGAGAAACAGTTGTGTTTTCTCCAAGGCTTTCTTGGCCTCTGGCTCCAGCTTGCAGTTTCCGACTGATTAAAAGAAAGTCCTGTTGGGAGGGAGAACAAAGGCCCTGAGCCCTTGGCAGAAACATGTGGCTGTGAGCTGAGCTCCTGGAAGTTTCCCAGTCGGGAGGTGGAGACTGGAGGCAGGAAGATGGGGCTGGGGGTTGGGAGAACCCTGGGGGCAGCACTGAGATCTCCAGGGCTTAAAGTTACTAACTCTGAGTTGCAGTTTTTGTGTTGGTGTGTCTGTGCCCAGCCCCCTTCCCACACCCCCCTCAATCGTACTGTGCAGGGCAAAGGGGAACCCAGGCCCCCCAACCCCCATTTATCAGATTACTGAGGTACCTATTGCTTAGGAAAACAGTTTTCCTATCTAGAGGACAATCCAGTGGAATGGCTGGGTGGTTCCCTGTTTATAAAACACACTAACAGATTCCCATTTGTTAGGTCACCTTAAGAGTTAAGGAAGAGAGAGCTAAGCAGCAGGAGAACTGTCTTGGGCCATTCTCGTTCATGCTTTGGAAGTTCTGCTAATATGGAACTTCAGACTCTTCCTGAAGGAGCTCCTGACGGCAGCCCTCACAGCTAGCCCTGGTGGTGAAGGTCATGCAGAAGCATCCACTAAACAGCTGCCGAGGGACAGCACAGCGCCAGACGCTGAGGTTACCCGGATGTGGCAAGGGATGAGACAGATTCAGCCCTTTCCCTTCATGTGGTTCGTAGCTTCCAGGAGATCCAGATAAATGAGCCGAGTCCTAACGGCTGAGTCAGGGGAGACTTTCTGGAGGAGGCAGTGTGCACCCATGGTCTGCGGAAGAGAATTTCTCTCATCGTTTTCTGGGAGGAAAGTGTGCATTCCTGGCAGGAGAGTGCCTGAGCAAAGTCCTGTTGGCAAAAGAAAACTTGAGCGTCTTAGTCATTTTTCAATTACCGTGAAAAAATACTATAACCAAGGCAAATTATAAAAGAAAGCATTTAATTTGGGGATCAAGGTTTCAGAGAGTTAGAATCCATGGTCATGGTGTGGGGTATGGCAGCAGGCAGGCATGGTTTTGGAGGTGTAGCTGAGAGCTTGTATTTAATCCAGTGTGGGGGAGAGAGAGAGGGAGGGAGGGAAGGAGAGAGAGAGAGAGAGAGAGAGAGAGAGAGAGAGAGAGAGAGAGAGAGAACGCTAGCTAACTGGGAATGGTGTGGACTTTAAAAACTTCCAGTGACCCACCTCCAACAAGGCCACACTTCCTAATCCTTTCGGAAACCGTCCCACCAACTGGGGACCAAGTATTCAAATATATGAGTCTATGGGGGCCACTCTCATTCAAACCACCACAACGAGATACCCAGGAACATATAGGGGTTCTTTCCTACCCTTGTGCCTGGGGAAGCCTCCTGCTTGCAACTCCCTGAAGGTTCAGTAACCCAAGCAAAAGGCATAATGGACAGGCAGCTTTACAGATAACGGTTTAGGTAACAGTCCTCAAAAGGCACATGAGATTCTGCCAATGCACTTTTTTTTAGATTTGTTTACTTTTAAGTTTGATCTGTATGAGAAGTTTGCCTTCATGTATGTGCACCATGTGTGTGCAGTTCCTGGGGATACCAGAAGAGGGCATCAGATCCTCCTGGTACTGGAGTTCCAGACAGTTGTGAGCTGCCATATGGATTCTGGGAACTGAACTCACATCCTGGGCAAGAGCACCCAATGCTTTTATCTTCTAAGTCATCTTTCCAGCCTCCACCATCCCCACCCCAGTGCATTCTATCCAACAAAAGACTTTCCTTTTGTGAAATATCTCAGTGTAGCAATTTGATTAACAGCTGCTTTGACATAGTGGCCTGTGGGTCCAATTTCTTTGAAATGATCTCAGCTATGGCTGTGTAACAAAATAGGGTGGGAGGAGAGGAACTTTTTCAAAATGCAGGTGAAGCATCTGCCCACTCAGGGCAAGCAGGAAAGCTGTTTCCTAAGGTGGACAGACCTCACCTCCTTCCACTCCAGGCTGGTCCTGAGTAAGGCCGGGTCAGCGATGGAGCTGGTGTGTGTCACTCCAGCGGTCTGTATGTTCCAAGGGGTGTATGCAGGGGACCCTCACCCCCAAAGAGGGTAGGAGGCAGCTAGACTTTCTTCTGAATGTGGCTCAAGATGGTGGGTAACCACAAGCCTTTATTTCTCAATGTCAGTCAACTTCACTCTGGTTAATGCTGTTCTGGGCCATCAGGCTAACGGAAGTGATTCCCATTCAAGAGCCGACAGCCCTGTGTGGTATGTGGTCCAGTATTTTTCCTGGGTCTTCCTTTCCTTTCTGACTTTTCACCTACTGGAGTTAAGATTGACTGAGTTTTGCTACATGTGTGAAGTCTTGCCTTTCCTTTTGGCTAAAAATTCTCTTGGGAGAATCCATCACTAAGAGTCAGTACTGCCTGTAGTCTGGCTGAGAGTGGCTGTGGGGCACTACTATCCCTTGACAGCGTGCATTCGAGACACTAGCCCTGGACCCTGCTTCACCTATGGGGCCTTGTTGCATGCCAGATGCCTCCTCACAGAGGACTCTGTCATTGTCCCCATTGTACAGGAGGACAGGATCCCAGGCTGAACATTTCAGTCCTAACAAGGACACTCGGTGGTATCATCTCTTGCCAGTTAACTCTCGTTTTTCTTAATTCCACCATTAACGAGGGATACGACTTCCCCCCGGGGCTTTTATAGTGGATCTGGGAACTTTGGAAGCTGAGCTGGGGTGAGGTCCAGTCAACCTTTGCCCTTTCTGCCTGAATCTCTTCCGGCCCATATAGCATTGCCAGGGTCTCCTGAGATATTTGCTTATTCGATGCTATCAAGTGGTGGCTGTCATTGCAGAGCTTTGAGACAAAGCACAGAGTGAAGCACAGCCCGGCCCCACCCTCCAGGTGTTAAGTTCATGTATAATCATTTGTGCTAAGTGCTGGGAATGTAAGAGAACAAAGAGCCTGTGCGAGACAGGAAACAGTTCTCTGTGAGCCTGCGTGTTCAAGCGAGTTGAGGGTGGTTAAGGAGTCCCTGAAGGAAGGACTGTTGGCAGGAGCACACTGGCCCAGGACCACCCGGCTGCAACTTCTAAAGGCCAGGTGTGAGGACACATGACATGTGGCTGGAGAGGTGAAGGAAACGGAGGGGGAGATGGGTCCTGGAAGCTTAGGAGACCC